TAAATAGAAACATTACGCAATTTCTATAAATAGATAAAAATAGAAACATTACGCATTTTCTATAAATAGAAACATTACGCAATTTCTAAAAATAGAGACATTATGCAATTTCTAAAAATAGAAACAATACGCAATTTCTAAAAATAGAAACATTACGCAATTTCTAAAAATATAAACATTACGCATATTCTATACATAGAAACATTACGCAATTTCTAAAAATAGAAACATTACGCAATTTCTATCAATAGAAACATTACGCAATTTCTATAAATAGATAAAAATAGAAACATTACGCAATTTCTATAAATAGAAACATTACGCAATTTCTAAAAATAGAAACATTACGCAATTTCTATAAATAGAAACATTACGCAATTTCTATAAATAGAAACATTACGCAATTCTATAAATAGAAACATTACGCAAAGTTGTTGTTGTTGTTGATGATGATGATGATGATAGATATGTATATATATATATATATATATATATATATATATATATATATATATATATATATATATATATATATATATACACACACACACACACCAATAAATATATAATTATGGTCATTTAATGCACAAATCTGAGAAAATTCAGTAATTTAACCTTCAAGGTCAAGGTCATTAAAGAGCCCAAGCAAATTTGGGTTTGATAAACAACAAGGTCTGGTCCTTAAGAATGTTCTGTTATAATATGAAGTTGATCCCTTCAATAATAGCAATGTTACAGTCAGTTGCCGCCAAAACAATGAAAATTTCAATAATTTGACCTTCAAAGACAATGTCATTAATGAGTGAAGGTCAAGGTCTTTCGGTATATTTTTAACAGTTATCTTTGAAGATTATTATGTTCAAGTTTCAAGACAATCCATTCAAAAATAACAAAGTTACAGCCAATAATAGCCAAAAAAATGAATATTTCAATAATTTGACCTTCAAAGTCAAGGTCATTTATGAGTGAAGGTCAAGGTCTGTCTAGTTATTTTTAAGGGATATCCCTGAAGATAATTATGTTCAAGTTTGAAGACAATCCATTCAAAAATAACAAAGTTGCAGCCAATAATAGCCAAAAAATGAAAATTTCAATAATTTGACCTTCAAAGTCAAGGTCATTTATGAGTGAAGGTCAAGGTCTGGCTGGTTATTTTTAAGGGATATCCTTGAAGATTATTATGTTCAAGTTTGAAGACAATCCATTCAAAAATAACAAAGTTACAGCCAATAACAGCATGAACAAGCAAAAATTGGACTTTTAACCTTGAAGGTCAAGGTCATTTATGGATGAAGATCAAGGTTAGTGTGGTCTACTGAAAGATCTTGTCCCAAGGGTTGTTGTGGCCAAGTATGAAGACAATACACCAAGAAATAAAAAAGTTATGATCCAGGTACAAGTTTGCGGACGGCAACGGCAACGCCGACCCGACTATAACAATACCTCTTTTTTTTTCAAAAAAAAAGTAGTCGAGCTAAAAATGTGACCGCTAGAGTGTTAACAAGGTTTTTCTATTTTTAGCTCTGGTGACCTACTTTTTCATCCGAGATGACCCATGTTCGAACTCATTCGAGCTATCAACTAGATAAGCATCCTGACCAAGTTTGATGATGATTGATGCAAAAATAAGACCGCTAGAGTGTTAACAAGGTTTTTCTATTTTTAGCTCCGGTGACCTACTTTTCATCCGAGATGACCCATGTTCGAACTCATCCGAGCTATCACCTAGACAAACATCCTGACCAAGTTTGATGATGATTGAGGCATAAATGTGACCTCTAGAGTGTTAACAAGGTTTTTCTATTTTTAGCTCTTGTGACCTAGTTTCTCATCCGATATGACCCATGTTCGAACTCATCTGAGCTATCAACAAGATAAGCATCCTGACGAAGTTTGATGATGATTGAGGCAAAAATGCGACCGCTAGAGTGTTAACAACTAAATGTGAACGGACTGACGACGGACGGACGACGGACAATCATCGATCCTAAAAGCTCACCCTGAGCATGCTCAGGTGAGCTAAAAAGTTATGATCCAGGTACAAGTCTGCGGATGGCAACGGCAAGGCCGACCCGACTATAACAATACCTTTAGTTTTTTTTTTCAAAAAAAAAAAAAGTCGAGATAAAAATGAAGGCTGTATGAGCAGAAATGTTTAGATTTATTTTTTACACAAGCGACCTTGACCTTGACCTAGAGACGCCTAACGCCACAAAAAACAAGAGCCATGTCAACATGGCTATCCCACGCCGAATGTGTTTGCTCATTGGAAGAATGTATATGTAGTAGAGCAGAATAATTCAATTTTAAGAGGTCTTTTGATAATGAAAACTGATGGCTGAAGTGATTACAGATTTGAAACCTTGTGAATACTGATGGCTGAAAATAACAAAGGGCAATAACTGAAAAATAATGCAGGGTAGGTTAGCATTTTTGTGTGCTGACCCCTCCTCAGTAAGATCTATCCACCAATGAAGTTTTAAGTTGATACCTCAAATACTTTTTGAGATAAGTTCGGGACAAAATAGTATGAAAAAGAACAAAGGGCAATAACTCAAAAATTATATAGGGAAGAGTTATCATTCTTGTGCACAGCATTCCTCCTCAATAAGATCTATCCACCTATGACATTTCATGTTGACATCTCAAACACTTTTGAGTTATGCTCCACTCAGGTGAAAAATTAAGTATGAAAAATAACAAAGGGCAATAACTCAAAAATTATGAAAGGAAGAGTTATGATTCTTGTGCACTGCACACATCCTGAGTGAGATCTATGCACCTATGAAGTTTCATGTTGATATCTCAAAGGCGTTTTGAGTTATGCTCTGGACAAAAATTAATTTTGAAAAATAACAAAGGGCAATTACTCAAACATTATGCAGGGTAGAGTTATCATTCTTGTGCACTGAACTCCTCCTCAATGAGATCCATCCACCTATGAAGTTTCAAGTTGATACCTCAAACACTTTTTGAGATAAGCTCCGGACAAAATAGTATGAAAAAGAACAAAGGGCAATAACTCAAAAATTAGAAAGGGAAGAGTTATCATTCTTGCGCTCAGCATTCCTCCTCAATAAGATCTATCCACCTATGACATTTCATGTTGACATCTCAAACATTTTTTGAGTTATGCTCCACTCAGGTGAAAAATAAAGTATGAAAAATAACAAAGGGCAATAACTCAAAAATTATGGAGGGTAGAGTTATCATTCTTGTGCACTGCACTCCTCCTCAATGAGGTCTATCGACCTATGAAGTTTCAAGTTGATACCTCAAATACTTTTTGAGATATGCTCCGGACAAAAATGTCGGACGGAATGACGGGTGTATGGATGGATGGATGGAAGGACGGATGAAGACTATTTCTATATCCCCCGCCGCCTTTCGGCGTGGGATAATAAGAGGACCGTTAAAGGTATCCACCTACCAAATATGAAAGATATCATTAAATAAATTAAGTAATTAGGTGGAATTTTTTGATAAATCCAACTTGGCGGAATAGGCCCTATTTTCAAAGTGATAAAAAGGGAAATTCCTGGGAAAATGGATGGCACATTTATATAACTTGGCAATATCATATACATTGTATTGATAAGTAAGTGTGAAAATTATTAAGCCATTAATTCAGATAGAACATAAGATATTTCCAACTTGCCAGTTTAGGTTAACCATTATTCACTTTCTAAGTCCTGAAAAGGGCCATAACTTGATAACTTGGTGCAAATGGAAGCCATAGTTATGTAACTTGCCCAGATCATATACTTTGTATGGATTAGTAAGTGTGTAAATTATGAAGCCATTGGTACAGGTAGAACTTAAGAAAAATCCAACTTGCCGTTCTAGGTTAACCTCGTACGGACAGACGGACGGACGTGCCACTTAAATGGACTAAAGGGCCATTTCTTTTGTTATTTTCTTTTGTTTATTAGAGGGCCATGGCCCCTTATTCTATTGTTACGGAATAAACTCTATTGTTCTCTTTTGTTCTGTTTACTGTTAGATAGCCCCGTAACCCTATTTGGTTGCTCGGACGGACAGACAGACGGACGGTTCAATTACTATATGCCCGGGGGCATAAAAAAGTCACCAAAAGGAAGCTATGTTTTGTTAATAGGTGTGGAATAACTCACACTTAAAATGTAGTATGTAGTTTATGAATTATGATTGTTTAAAGTATTGTTAACATTAATTTATTTGAGACAGAGTTATTTGCTAGGTTGTATTGGTCATGCACAAAGAATATTATTAAGGGAGGGTTGTGGGGATACTGAGTGTATCATGTAGTCTTCAAATCTTTTAGGTAAAGTGTCTCCCTTTTGGAATATATTAAAAGATTTTATAGCTTTAAATATCAGAGAATGACTTGTTTTAAATAATTATAATCTATTTCAAATATCATTAACACTGGAAGAATAAATTTTGAAACATGCCAATGTTTTATTTATTTCTTCCTCACAAGCTAAGATGTCAGTAAAGGTAAACCTATATGCTTTATGGTGCAATTGTGATATTTAAAGGTTTTTATGTCCGGGCTAGTGAAATGTCTTCTGGGCTAATGAATATTCCAATCAGGCTAATGGATTCAAATCTGAATTTCGTACACTGTTTAAAACTAATGGAGCGGACACGGAATGTAGACATTTTAACACTTGAGTGTGACCTTGATTTTGTGGGTAGCAATCCAATTATTGCGCTCTGCACATTCTCTCATAATAGTAATCACTTGTGCCAAGTTTTTTTGTTTTTTTTTCAGAGGTTGAAAAGATATGGAGCGGACAACCTAATTGGGATAAAGGGCCATTTCTATTGTTATTTTCTTTTGCCTAATAGAGGGCCATTGGCATCTTCCTTGTTATGTAATGAACTCTATTGTTCTCTTTTGTTCTGTTTACAGTTAAATAGCCCCCTTTTCGGTAGTGCGGACAGATGGACGGACACACAGACGAAGGCCATTACTATAACAAACACAATGTTATCATTCCTTAAATAACTCTCACCTTTCCTAAGCATAGCATTCCAGAACATTTGTTGGGAAGGATAAACCCAGTTCTCTGTAGTTCCTGCACGAGGTATAGTTGACATCTCTCTATCTGTTGACAGAGGGAATGGTTGATCTGGAGCTGGTCTTTGATTTGGTGGAGGCATCTATATTATATACAAACAAGCAATTATCATAGTATTGCAAGAATCCATAAGTCCCCTACCAGTTAGAACCCCAGCAACATTCTGATGGGCCATTGGCCATTCAGTTATACCATTGAATGAATGAATGACATGAATGAACTTAAATCCTGCCTAGTAAGGAAATTATGTTTATACAACAGATAATCAAAAGGTCCAATTTTCTCAGGATGAATAAGTATAACTAACGTTTCAACTTTTCTCTATTTTAAGTAAATTTGTTGGAAAACATCTTTAAAATTGATCTCAGGAAACAGTTTTTATGAACAGACTGAAGGAGACTCTAAAGTTAAGGGAGGTAATTCTCAAAAAATTTTTGTGCTAGAGTTGTAAACCTTGTCACATATGATGTGGTTGATGACCAGAAACTTATATTTAAAGTATAGAGTAAATAGGGTTATACCTTAAGAACTTATAGTGAAAAAGCGTAAACAAGAACTGGTCAATAGGACACGGGTGCCCCCACACTCCACCGATTTGTCAATCTTGTGTCTCTAGGTCAAATTTTTTTTTTGGCTTCATATGCTCAACTTGAAAACTAAAAATCTTTTATTAAGTAAAGGGCAAATACTACAAATACTGAATAAATCCAAAAGAAAACACCAAGGTGCACAACTACACATGCTGACCAACATTCTTGTAAACTTTTCTGCCTACAGGTCAAATATTTTTTGAGTTACAAGCAACACAAGTTGAATATTGGAAACTTTTACTAAGTCAAGGGAAATAACTCTAAAAATACTAGAAATATCCACATGAAAATACCCAGGTGCACAACCACATGCTGATCAACATTCCTGTAAGGTTTCATGACTCTAGGTCAATTACTTTTGGAGCTATGGGCAACACAACAAGAGGGCCATGATGGCCCTGAGGTCGCTCACCTGTATATAGGCCCCCGGAGCCGGGCCAGTTTAAACCCCAGGGCTTTTATTTGAACACACTTGGAAGACACCCATTAGAAGATGTTTCATGATGTTAAGTTTTTACTACACACATATAGTGAAAAACAATGACCTCACCCACCTCTCCTGCCCCCCCCCCCAGCAGGGCCAATTTTAACCCAAGGGCTTTTATTTGAACAAACTTGGTAGACACCCATTAGAAGATGTTTCATGCTAAACATCTAAGCTCTAGCTCATTGGGTTTTTTAAAAGAAGATTTTTTAAGCTTTTACTATACACATATAGTTAACAAGAGCACCGCTAGGCGGAGCATTATATGCCCGAAAGTGATTTTTTTTTTAGTAAAGATGAAGCATTTGTAAGACATTGGAATTAAATAAAGTATTACCTCCTTCAAATAACAATCCTCCTATGAAGTTTGAATATTGTGGTCCAAATGGAACTTAAGTTATGCCCCGGAAACTGTTTTCAGTTTTAAGGTAATAGTGACCTTGACCTTTGACCTTGTGACCCCAAAATCAATTGGGGTCTTCTACCTAATATGGACAATCATCCTATGAAATTTGAATATTGTGGGCTGAATGGAACTTAAGTTATGCTCAAGAAACTGTTTTCAATTTCAAAGTAATAGTGATCTTGACCTTTGACCTTGTGACCCAAAAATCAAGAGGGGTCTTCTGCCCAATATAGACAATCATCCTATGAAGTTTGAACACTGTGGGCCAAATGGAACTGAAGTTATGCTCCCGAAACTGTTTTCAGTTTTATGGTAAAAGTGACCTTGACCTTTGACCTTGTGACCCCAAAACCAATAATGGTCTTCTACCCAATATGGACAATCATCCTATGAAGTTTGAACACTGTGGGCCAAATTGAACTTAAGTTATGCTCCGGAAATTGTTTTCAGTTTTAAAGTAATAGTGAACTTGACCTTGTGACCCCAAAATCAATGGGGGTCTTCTACCTTATATGGACAATCATCCTATGAAGTTTGAACACTGTGGGGCAAATGGGACTTAAGTTATTCTCCGGAAACTGTTTTCAGTTTTAAGGTCATAGTGACCTTGACCTTTGACTTTGTGACCCCAAAATCAATAGGGGTCTTCTACCCAATATGGACAATCAACCTATGAAGTTTGAATATTGTTGGCCAAATGGAACTCAAGTTATGCTCTGGAAACCAAATTGCTAACAGACGGACTGACAGACCCCAGGGGGTAAAACATGATATGCCCGAAATTCTTTCGGGCATATAAAAACAATGACACCCCTGGGGCGGGGCCAGTTTTGACCCCAGGGCTTTTATTTGAACAAACTTTGTAGACACTTACTAGAAAATGTTTCATGCTTAATATCTAAACTCTAGCTCTTTGGGGTTTTTAAAAGAAGATATTTAAAGTTTTTTCTTTCGGTTGGCATGGTAACCAGAGTTCTGCATGGAATTAAATTCTTTGAACAATTTTTACAGGTGACCACCAAAGGAACATTCCTGTGAAGTTTGGATGAAATTGGCTTAGTGGTTTATCAGGAGATGTCATTTAAAGTAAAAGTTTACGGACGGACGGACGCCGGACAAAAAGCGATCACAAAAGCTCACCCTGTCACTTTGTGACAGGTGAGCTAAAAAGAGAACGGACGGACAGACGGACGGACAAGGGTAAATCTAAATGCCCCCCCACTGAATCTTGAAATTCAGTCTATTTGTTGCCATAGCAACCAGAAAGGAAAAAGACATACATAATCTCCATACTGCCATTTATCTATATATCAAGTTTTATAAAAATATTTTCAGTACTACTTTTTGCGTTATCGCGGGATCCAATTTTGTGGACGGACACACTGACAGACAGACAGACGGTAAACCTAAAGTCCCCTCCGGATAAGCCGGTAGGGGACTAATAAACATTAACCTATTCATTATTTCTGACATTAGTTTTATTATTATTCAACTGAACAAGTTATCTTGCTGACTTTAAGTCAGGGCCAAAACACCATTTTTGGGGAAGGGGCCTCAGCCTTTTTCTTGGGGAAAATATGCGTAATTTTGGCATACTTTGGGAAAAGGGGTCTCAAATTTAACACAAACTTTTAACAAGGTCTTCAAAATAGAAAAACAAAAAGCACTGGGAAATACAAATAAGGCAGTAAAAGACCTTAATTCAACACCAAGTCCATCATTTAACTTTATTCTAAATTCTATGGGAAATTTCAAAAGACTGGGGAATTTTGAAGACCAAACTGGGGAAAAAAAGAGGCTAGTTTGGTTGGGGAAGTAGCCTATATTCGGCCTCTGCAAAGAAGGGTTTTTTGGCCCTGTAAGTATAACATGCACCTTATACCTTAGGGTGTTTTAAGACGCACTTACATTGTAACAGACATAATGGTGACTTTTTAGCTTTAATGATGGAGGATGAGCATAAATACACCTTAAGTGAACCTGACACTATTTCTGACACATAAAAGCGTCTGCTTCATTCTGCTTCTGCAAAGCAACTGAGTCTTAAGACGCATGATTTACTGAGGAATGACACAATTTATTTTGCAAGTCGTCAATAAATACACAAGTACATGAAAACATTCACATAATTTATCAGCTTTACACTTCAGGACCAATTCTAAACTTCTGGCTTTGTTGCAAAACATAAACAAGATTGCATTTGAGAAAAATGCTATGCCACCGCATTAATACAACACTAAATAGTAGTGTAGGAACAGATTTTTTTGTTTCTATACAATTTTGAAGATTGTCATAATGCATAGATCCCTGACCAATCTTATTCTTATTATGAGATTAGTGGTTAAATCTGTTGTTAACTCAATAAAAGATCAGAGTAGGAATATATCAATGCACTCGAGTCTAGTGAATTTGGTGGTGAAGGTCATATTTCACACAGCCTAAATTTCATGACTACATCAAAGGACAACACAGTAAGACACTTTGTCAAAATCTAGGTCAGCTGAAATCAAAGTTCACTTTACATCTTAATGATTTAATCTGTGCACATGGTTCAAATTTCATAGCTGTACATCAAACGACAAGAAAGTAGGTCACATCATCAAAATCTAGGTCACCTGATATCAAAGTTCAATTTTACAACTAAAACTGTGCACATGGTCAAAATTTCATCGCTGTACATCAAAGGACAAGAAAGTAGGTCACTGTCCCATTGGGCAAGGCAAAATTTTGGACCCAAGGGTTTAATTCAAAACAATCTTGATACAGTCCACCAAACAACATTTCAAGTCAAATATCTAAGCTGTAGCTTATGTACATAATGAAAATCAATGACACCCGGGGAAAACCAATTATGACCCCAGGGCTATAATTTGAACAATCTGGGTAAAGGTTCACTTTGCAAAGTCTCATGCCATATATTTAACCTCTAGCCTTTGTCAATTCAGAGAAGAAGATTTTTCAATTCAGAGAAGAAGAATTTTTAAGTTATTACTTTATACATATAAGGAAAACTATCGCCTCTTGGGCAGGGCAATCTTAACACAAGGGGCATAATTAAAACAACTTTAGTACAGGACCCATAGATGATATTATATACCAACTATCAAAGCTCTAAGCCTTGTTCCTTCAGACAAGAAGATTTTTTTAATTTTTTAATATATGTACATAGTGAAAATCAATGACCCCTGGGGGGTGGGGCCAATTTTGACCCCAGGGCTATAATTTGTACAACCTTGCTAGAGGTTCACTACATAATGTTTCATGCAAAATATCTTAACTCTTGTCTTTGTAAATTTAGAGAAGAGGATTTTTTAAGTTTTTACTATATACATATAAGGAAAACCTATGGCCCCTTGGGCGGGGCAAATTTTGACACTAGAGGCAAAATTTGAACAACTTTGGTAGCGTACCTAAAGATGATATCATTTAACAAATATTAAAGCTCTAAGCCTTGTACCTTCAGACAATAAGATTTTTTGATTTTTTACTATATGTATATATTGAAAATCAATGACCCCCGGGGTGGGGCAATTTTGACCCCAGGGCTCTAATTTGAACAATCTTGCTAGAAGTTTACTTCACAATGTTTCATGCAAAATATC